CCCTTCAGCCCGCAGGCCGACGCTCTATCCACTGAGCCACACTGGCCAGGGCTGAATAATAAGATTTATATATCACGGGGGCGGGGGGCGGGGCGGCAGCAGGATTTTAGAGATGCTTCGGTGGGGCATGGCCAAAAAAAGAAAAAAAATTGGGGGAATTTTCAGGTTAGATTGTGGCTCAAACACAGAGAAGGCAAAGGCCGGATATCCACGAGAGAGTTAAACGGGGCAAAAAAAAAAAGGGGGGGCATGTGTAATCGTTTCAACCGCAGAGATACAATCAGATACAAATTGCAATGACTGGCGAGTGTGAACGAGTGGGATTGTTGTGTCTTGGCTCAAGCCCAGCAGGCGGCGGGTGTAGCTCATAACCAAGGACGCATGCAACTCCCTAAGTGCAAAGAGCTCTGAGCTCGCAGAGTAGGGCCGCAACAATGTATCATAGATGTTGCTAAGCGACCCGGACGTATGGATACATTGTTGCAATCACACTCCAATGTATCCTGGATGTTGCTAAGCGACCCGGACATATGGATACATTGTTGCAGCCACACTACAATGTATCATGGATGTTGCTAAGTGACCCGGACATATGGATACATTGTTGCAGCCACACTCCAATGCATCCTGGATGTTGCTAAGCAACCCGGACATATGGATACATTGTTGCAATCATACTTCAATGTATCCTGGATGTTGCTAAGCGACCTGGACATATGGATACATTGTTGCAGCCATACTCCAATGTATCCTAGATGATGCTAGCAACCCCGATATATTGATACATTGTTTCAATCATACTCCAATGTATCCTAGATGTTGCTAAGCAACCCGGACATATCGATACATTGTTGCAATCATACTCCAATGTATCCTAGATGTTGCTAAGCGACCCGGACATATGGATACATTGTTCCAGCCACACCCCAATGTATCATGGATGTTGCTAAGCGCCCCGGACATATGGATACATTGTTCCAGCCACACCCCAATGTATCATGGATGTTGCTAAGCGCCCCGGACATATGGATACATTGTTGCAGCCCTACTCGGCGAGCTCAGAACTCAGTCCCCGCGTGTCAGTCACTAAGGGCACAGGACCTGTAAGGGAAGCGGAATCACTAAGCCCCCCAAAAGGTGCAGGGAACTCCCACTCGCCCTTGAACGACTTGATAGCGCCCCAAAGTTGTCCCTAAATGTCATTCAATGAAATTGCCTCCCCGGCCAGTCAGGAAACGCCTCGCTGGGCCGAGCCGGGCGCTTCTGGTTCCCAGAGCGCAGAGATGGCGCCGCCGGAACTATTTTGTGCAAACCCGCTTGCACCGTCAGCTCTTCGGGCTGCAAGGCGAGGCCAGCAAGCGCTTGGGAGACCGGAAACGGAGCTCAGGGCCAGGATGCAAAAAGCTCGAGATGTTGGACGCCTCTCCCCTGGCTGAGCGGGTGGACAGTTTGCTCTCCTCGAGGAGCGCATGCCCACAGCGCAGGGACAAGGCCGCGCGCTTCCGTATCGCACTTTTTACTTTCTATGTGAATTGCTTTAAAAAAATAAAAAATAAAGACTGCTATCTAGCCCAGCCCGCCTGGCATGGCTCAGAGGTTGAGCGTCCACCTATGAGCCAGGAGGTCAGGGTTCGATTCCTGGACAAGGGCACAGGCCCGGGTTGTGGGCTCCATCCCCAGCAGGGGGCGTGCCGGAGGCAGCCGATCCATGGTTCTCTCTCCTCATGGATGTTTCTACTAATATATCTCCCTCTCCCTTCCTCTCTGAGGTCAATAACAATATTTTTTTTTAAAAAAAA